AACACACACAGAGTTAGACAAAATGAGGAGATAGAGAAATATGTTCCAAATGAAAGACCAGTACCAAACCACAGCGCAAGACCTAAGCAAAACATATATAAATAAGATGCTTGATAGAGAATTGAAACTAAGCATCATAAAGATACTCACTGGATTTAAGAAAAGAGTTGAGACCCTTAACAAAGACATATAAATGAACCAATCAGAGATTAAGTACATAATAAATGAAATTAAAACTACATTAATTGTAAGCTAGATGAAGCAGAAGAATGAATAAATGACCTGAAAGACACAGTAATGGAAAGTGAACAAAGTGAACAAATGAGTGAAAAAAGTATGAAAATTGAGAATGGTTTTAGGTAACTCAGTGACTCCATCAAATATAATAACATTCTCATTGTAGGGCTATTCAAAGAAGAAGAGAGTGAAAAGAGGGCAGAAAACATAAAGAAATAATAGCTGAAAACTTCCCTAATCTGGAAGGAAAGAGATATCCAGATGCATGAGGCACAGAGTTCACCCTCAAAAATCAACCCAAGGAGGACCATACTAAGAGACAAGGTAATTAAAGTGGCAAAAATTAGAGAAATAAATTAGAAAAGAAAAAAATGTAAAAGAAGCAAGAGAAAAGAAGACAATTACATATAAAGGAAAACCACAAGGCAATAAGTGGATATTTCATTGGAAAGTTTGCAGGCCAGAATGGAGTAGCATGATACAAAGTGCTGAAAGGGAAAAGTCCTTAACCAAGAATACTCTATCTAGCAAGGCTATCATTCAAAATAGGAGAGATAGGGGCGCCTGGGTGGCGCAGTCGGTTGAGCGTCCGACTTCAGCCAGGTCACGATCCCCGGGAGTTCGAGCCCCGCATCAGGCTCTGGGCTGATGGCTCAGAGCCTGGAGCCTGTTTCCGATTCTGTGTCTCCCTCTCTCTCTGCCCCTCCCCCGTTCATGCTCTGTCTCTCTCTGTCCCAAAAATAAATAAATGTTGAAAAAAAAAATTTCAAAATAGGAGAGACAAAGAGTTTCTCAGACAAACGAAACCTAAAGGAGTTTATGACAACTAAACCAGCCCTAGAAGAAATGTTAAGGGAGACTCTTTGAGTGGAAAGGAAGACCATGAGTATGAAAAGCAAAAAACAAAAATAAGTATTTCTGTAAAATGCAGTATAGGGATTCATAAAATAAAAGGATATAAAATATGACACCACATATCCAAAGCATGGGGGAAAGAGGAGTAAAGAAGGGTTTTACATTTTTTTAAGTTTATTTATTTATTTTGAGAGACAGAGAGAAAAAAAAAAAGCATGAGTACGGGAAGGGCAGAGAAAGAGGAGAGAGAGAGAGAATCCCATCCCAAGCAAGCTCCACACTATCAGCATGGAGCCCGATGCGGGGCTTGATCTCACAAACTGTGAGATCATGACCTGAACTGAAGTCAGACCTTCAACCAATTGAGCCACCCAGGTGCCCTGTGGTTTAAACTTACGTGACCATCAACTTAAAATAGACTGCTATATGCAGAAGATGGTATATGCAAATGTAATGGTAACCACAAGTCAAAAACCAGTAATAGATATGCAAACTAAAGAGCAAGGAATCCAAGCATATCACTAAAGAGAGCCAACAAACCATGCAAGAGAGCAAAAGAAGGCAGGATCAGAGAAAATTTATAAAAAAAAAAACAACCACAAAACAAGTATCAAAATGGCAACAAAAACTCCCATTCCCACCTTCCCCGAGACTCTGGCAACCACCATTCTACCTTCTTTCTCTATGAATTTGACAATTCTAGATACCTCATATAAGTGGAATCACAAAATATTTGTCTTTTTATGTTTGTATTATTTCATTTAACATAATGTCTTCAAGGTTAATCCATGTTGTATCATGTGTCAGAATTTCATTCCTTTTTAAGGCTGAATAATATTTCTATTGTATATATGTACTACTTTTAAAAAAAAAATCCATGCTTCCATCAATGGATATTTACATTGTTTCCACCTTTTGGCTATTGTGGAAAATGCTGCTGGGGCACCTGGGTGGATCAGTCATTTAAGCATCCGACTTTGGCTCATGTCATGATCTCACCGTTCCCGAGTTCGAGCCCTACATCGGGCTCTGTGCTGACAGCTCAGAGCCTGGATGGAGACTGTATCAGATTCTGTGTCTCCCTCTCTCTCTCTGCCCCACCCCCTGCTTGTACTCTCTCTCTCTCTCTCTCTCTCAAAAATAAATAAACATTAAATTTTTCTTTTAAATGTTGCTATGAACATATGGGTGTAAAAATATCTGTTAGATACCCTGCTTTCATTTCTTTTGGGTATATACCTAGAAGTGGAATAGTTGGATCATATGGTAATTCTATGTTGATTTTTTTGAGGTTCTACCATATTGCTTTTTATTGGAGTTGCACCATTTCACATTCCTCAATAATGCACAAAGTTTCCAATTTCTCCATATTCTTGTCTACACTTATTTTCTGTTTTTATTCTTCTGATAATAGCCATTTTAATGGGTGTGAAGTGATACCTCTTTGTGGTTTTGATTTGCATTTCTCTAATTAGTGATATTGAACATCTTTTCAGGTGCCCTTTGTATCTCTTCTTTGTAGAGATATATTTTCAAGTCCTTTGCCCATTTTTAACTGATTTGCTTGTTTTTGTTATTCTTGAGTTGTAGGACTCCTTATGTATTCTGGATATTAATCCTCTATCAGTTATATGATTTGCACACATTTTCTCCCACCTGATGGGCTGCCTTTTAACTCTGTTGAGAGTATTTTTTTGTGAACAAATGTTTCTAATTTGAAGAATTCCAATTTATCTATTTTTTGTTTTGTTGCCTATGCTTTGGTGTCATATACTTTTGTTATATGTAATGAAACACATCATTCCCTTTATGGTTTCTGTGACTGCATGTATGACTATGAAGGACTCTTCAATCTTAAAATTAGATGGCACACATTCTCCTCATCTTTTAATAGTTTGGTTTAACATCATAATATATTTATATAATAGTGGGTTTTCTTTTAAAATTACATTTTTAGAAACTACTTAAGTATACTGGAATATGTTAGTGAGAGGGAAAAGTTTATAAAAGAGTTTATCTCAGTTTTATTTTGAGAAAACTCTAGCCTAAACAGAACACATATGTAGACATGTTAGAAAGAACAAGACCAAAATGTTCACATTGGTTCTCTCAGGGTTGTGAGATTACTAGTGATTTCTGTTATACTCTAAAATTTTCCTCATTTTCCAAATTTTACAAAAATAAGCATGTGTTGTATTTATATCAGATAACTACAAGGAATGGTGCAACTCTAGAACCAGAAAAAAGGAAACTTGGAAAGCAATGAATGGACTCATAACAAGGGACCTACCAGATCAATACATAAGCCTGAAAATTGAATTTTGTAAATATTGTAATGATACACAGTACACAGAAATAAAATATGAAAAAAGAAAAAAATTACCAGTATACTGCAAGAGTCTGAAAAGAAATAAAATATGTAAACAGTGTTTATCTCTGTGATAATAACACAATACAGATTGTTTAAATCCGGGAAATAGTAAAATTTTTAAAATTATTCAATTAATAAATGACCAACATTGGAAATATGGACAAAATAAACATCATCAATGATTCCTAACCAGAGGAAATTTTTAAATGACTGCATACATAGCATTCCACCTTGTGAATACTCTGGCATATATTTAACCATGTCTGTAATGCTGAGATTTGGAATATTTTCAGTAACAAAAGCGTCAAGCAAGTGCTGTGATTTGTAAAATAAATATTACTTTACATTTAAACATTTCTTTTTAAAATTCCCAATGGCTTGACAGCCAGAATCAAAAAGGAGGAAGAGGGAAGTCAGTATTAGGAGTGAGTTACTGATTAGCCAGGCAACTGGTTTATTGTCTTGTGTGTTCACTTGTCAGACAGTTGGATACAGCACGTTAGATCTTCACCAAAGTTTAACTAGGCTGTATTTCACATTAACCTTAACTAATCACGTCTTCTGTCCCCTCTCCTATCCCAGGAAATGTTAGGAGCATTTCCAATTTAAAATTGCTGCTCACTTACCATTAAGCTTGTGGAAAATACAGTAAAAAAACAAAAATAGAATATTTAAATCACTGTCAGTTACATCACCTTAAGACCAAGATAGCTAATTTCTTTTTAGTGTTTTCCCTTCTGCCTCTCTTTATAAATCCCTCCCCAAACCCCTTTCCTCCTCCCAGAGCCTGGGGCTAAAATTAAAGGGACAAATTTAGGATGGGTGGATGCCTTGTCTTCTCTCCTTGTCCGACATTTTAGGTAGTATTTTCTTTTAGCTTTTCTTGAAATCATAAAAGTATAATACTAGTTACAAATTGAAAGAATAAACAAATAAAATTTAAGTTTCTGGAAAAATCAGGGGTGGGGGTGGGGGTTGGAGGTTAAGTTAGAGGTAGATGAATCAGCTATATTAGAGAACCTGGGAAGGTGAGCGGGCTTGGAAACTTGATAGATCTAATAATTTATTGGCTCAGGATTTGTCAATCACTGTAGCCCAGCAAATGAAATTAGAGCAGAGTCGTAGGGAGGAAGGGAGTGACTCAGCAAACTATATGCACCAAGAAAATCTAGTCAGGAGACGTCTGCGTAATCATACTGTGGCACCATTTTTTTCTTGCGGCACTAGCTGCTTGCGGAGGAGGTCCGCCCACTGCAGCTCTCTGCAGTCTCTGGATGGTTCCTGCAAGACCGACCATCGCCTTCTCTGCGCTCCAGCCCAGGGCACCATTGCCTCCTCCCGCTTCTCGCGGCCTCAGCACAGCCTTCATCCCGGCAGCAGCCTCAACCATTCCTCTTGCAGCCTGCCACCACTGCGCATTCCACCTCTGTCCAGCCGCCTCTGCTTCTGCTTTTCCGGTGAGTCTTTCCCTGCGGAGGTCAGGTCTCCTTCCTTATCTTGGCGATAGCCACCTTAAGCGTGTACGGTCTTTTGAAAAATGGCCGAGTCAGCCGACCACAAGGAACTGTTAGAATCTAGTCAAGAAGAGGCTGGTAATAAGGTAATGATGGAGGGACCCGGGGAACAACCGGAGCGCAGTGAAGATGTCGCAGCTGGGCCTGGAGATGATAAAGTGCACGGTGAGGAAGCCGCCGCAGGGCCTGGGGAAGAAGGGGAGAAAGGTGAAGATGCTGCTGCTAGGTCCGGGGAAGGCGGGGTAAAAGATGAAGATACTGATGAGGATTCAGACACAGACCGTCCAAAAGGACTTATTGGTTATCTTTTAGATACAGACTTTGTTGAAAGTCTGCCTTTGAAAGTTAAGTACCGTGTGTTAGCCCTCAAAAAACTTCAAACTAGAGTGGCCAATCTGGAATCCAAATTTCTGAGGGAATTTCATGGCATTGAAAGGAAGTTTGCTGAAATGTATCAACCGTTATTGGAAAAAAGACGTCAGATCATAAATGCAATCTATGAACCTACAAAAGAGGAATGTGAATATAAGTCAGACTCTGAGGACTACTATGATGAGATGTATGATGAGGAAGAAATGGATGGTAATGAGGAGGGTCTGGTACATGAGTATATGGATGAGGATGATGGTTGTGAAGGAGATTATTATGATTATGCTGTCGAGGAGGATGATGATGATGACGATGACGAGGATACTGATGACGACATCGAGGCTACCGGAGAAGAGAATAAAGAAGAACAGGATCCTAAAGGAATTCCTAATTTTTGGCTGACTGTATTAAAAAACGTTGACACACTCACTCCTTTGATTAAGAAATATGATGAGCCTATTCTGAAGCTCCTGACAGATATTAAAGTGAAACTTTCAGATCCTGGCGAGCCTCTCAGTTTCACGCTAGAATTTCACTTCAAGCCCAATGAATATTTCAAAAATGAGCTGTTAACAAAAACTTATGTGCTGAAGTCAAGGCTGGCGTATTATGATCCCCATCCCTATAGGGGAACTGCAATTGAGTATTGCATAGGCTGTGAGATAGATTGGAATGAAGGTAAGAATGTCACTTTGAAAACCATCAGGAAGAAGCAGAAACACCGGATCTGGGGGACAATCCGAACTGTAACTGAAGATTTTCCCAAGGATTCGTTCTTCAATTTCTTTACTCCTCATGGAATCAACTCAAATGGAAAGGATGGAAATGATGATTTTTTACTTGGTCACAATTTACGTACTTACATAATACCAAGATCAGTGTTGTTTTTCTCAGGTGATGCACTTGAATCTCAGCAGGAGGGGGTAGTTAGGGAAGTTAATGATGCAATTTATGACAAAATTATTTATGATAATTGGATGGCTGCAATTGAGGAGGTTAAAGCTTGTTGCAAAAATCTTGAGGGAATAGTAGAAGATGTTGATCGCTAAAGCAAAGTGTACTTGGTCCTGACATTAACTGCTGTAGATCTAGTTACTCAAGATACAAGAAGTTAATTAGAGCCTTGTGTTCTGAATTTTTTCTTGTAGGGTCATTTAAAACATAGGTCTCAGAAATATGAGAGAGATTTAAATACTAATTAATGTGACCTTGCATTTTAGTAGTAGAATGTTTTCAAGAAATATAAACTGTGGTAGATGGTTTAAAATATCTATATAATGTGTAGTTTAATCCTTCTAAAGTCCTTTAAACATATAGCTATTAATCTGTGGCTGTGAATATTATCAGAACTGCTAAATGAGACCAACATTTGTTTGGAAAGAAAATCTTGGGGAACCAACCCAAGGTTTTTTGAAGCTGTGTGTGTGTGTGTGTGTGTTTTCTTAGTCCTTTATCTAGTGGGTTTATTCTCTTGTACCTGCTTCATTTTGCAACAAAATACAGTAGAATTTAAAACTTGAATGCTCGGGGCGCCTGGGTGGCGCAGTCGGTTAAGCGTCCGACTTCAGCCAGGTCACGATCTCGCGGTCCGTGAGTTCGAGCCCCGCGTCGGGCTCTGGGCTGATAGCTCAGAGCCTGGAGCCTGTTTCCCATTCTGTGTCTCCCTCTCTCTGCCCCTCTCCCGTTCATGCTATGTCTCTCTCTGTCCCAAAAATAAAAAATAAACGTTGAAAAAAAAAATTAAAAAAAAAAATAAAAATAAAAAAAAAATAAAACTTGAATGCTTAAGAAGCCTGCATATGGTTAAAATTTTCAGGTAAAACTGCACTTATTGTTAGTAACAGCTTATCCATAGGCTCTTGTATTTTATTTGACCATGATAAATAATAAAACTTAGTTATATTGAGGTTATTGTTTATCAGTGAAGTGTTAATCACAGTGCTTTCAAAAGATTGCCACATGTTGTTCTGTGTAATTATGTAAACTGTAATTACAGTGTGTAATTTCTCTTCCTATAGTACACTTAATCATTCATTGGAAGTAATCACATGAACATTTTGAAAAGTTTTTTTCATGTTCTTTCACTGCGAAATAAAATAAATAAAAATTTCAGTGTGTTTCCTGTTTTACAACTTATCTTTTTTTCTCATTATAAAAGTGTTATGCTTATTGGAAAACATTTAGGAAATACTAAACAATACATTGATTAAACCAAAATCCATATACTCACTCCCCAAAGATAAGCACTGTTAATGTCTTGATTTACTTTCTATTATTTTTCAATGTGTTTAAATATGCATGCAGATTTACTAACACTATACTTAGATGTGCAAAGAAACTATCTTAGGTTTTATAACTAATGTAATTTTAATTCTGAGTGCACCTCCACACCCCAAGTTTGCAGAGAAACAAAAGTCTCAGTTTTAATCCAGGAAATTAACTGCTGTTTATAATTTAAACACTGCATAAATAACAGGCTCCTGTGTGTTAGTCTATATTTCAGATTTACCTACCCTTCCACAATGTCATCTGGATGTACAGGGGCTTATATTGTTTTATGACATTGGTGGGGAGGGGGCTGCACTGACCAGGGAAAAGGGATGTGGTTGGTTAGAGAGCTGACATTGTCCCAGAGATGGCATTGCCTTCTTCACGTGTGGAAACCCAGAGGTTCAGCTTCCCATTTTGGCAGACTCTGTGAAGGTCACATCTATCCCTCTGGGACAATAGGGAATTTTTAAATCCTTTCCAAGCCGTGTGAGATCTGAGAGTGGCTAAGAAGTGCTGTGTCTCGTTATTGCTGCCTATCCACTCTTCCATCCCAGGTGATTGTGATGTGATCCCACAGAATTATAAGATGAAAGTGGAACAAAATCTCTTTTGCTTGTGACTTATTCCTCCATTATTGAACATGCCTCCTTCGGATTTTGGCTAAGAGAGGTAAGTTTATAACACTGATTTTTTTTTTTTTTGTTTTTTACCTCTGCCTCATCTTTACAATCAACTGAGGAGGAAGATAATGGGCTTTTTCTTTCCTTTTCCTGTCTGGATGGGATCCTCCTCTAAATATATCTTCCTCCCAGGGTCAATAGTAAATGCTCACTTGCTTTTCTATGGGGTTGCAATGGTTGGCAGGGTATAAGGAACTAGAGACAACTTACTATTATAGGGGAACCTAAGTTGGGAAATACAATGTATGCTTGATAAATGTAAACATTTTCATAGTCTTCACCACCCTCAGTCTTGACGTTTGTTAAATTCCCAACTCCCCTTCAAACCCTTCCACAAAATAAAGATTGGGACCCTTTTAGTCGTTGTTATTGTTATTATGCATTAAAAAGTCAGGAATGTGGGTGTATCTTTCCTGCTATTTTACAGAGGAGGATCAGGCATCTTGAAGTCTCTCCTTGTCCCTTTCTCTTGCCTCCAGAAGAGCAAGCAGTAAAGCTGTTTCTGGGCTTTCTGTAAGGGCAGACCAGCCCCTTTGCTTTATCCCTCATGTCAGTGGTGTCCAGCCAAAGACCATCAAGGACATACCCATAGTTGAATAAGCACATGCCCAAGTTGAACATAGGTGAACAAGTTGAACATACCCACAGTCTCCATCATCTCCCCCAGGAGAACACACATCCTGGGGAACCATTGTGTGTTATCAGTAAGTAAGTGTTAGAAAACATATTGCAGAATTTGGGCTTTGGTTGTGTGATTTGATGGAGGGTCTATGGAAGTGGGGGTTTATTCTATATTGTAGGACAATTTAATGATTGGTAGTTCAATAAATCTCTTCTATAGGGGGGAGATACTAGAACAAGGATAAAGCTGTAATTGGTAAAGAGGTTGTAGCCACTGACTTTAACTAGAATGGTAGTGATGTTTGGTGTTTTGTGACCTTGTTTTTGTCTGTGCTTAGACAAAATTAGATGGCCTTACTTTGCCTCATTTTCATACAGTCCCAGCATAACCTTGTCTGAAGTTGGTATTCTATTAGATGGTTTATCCAATAGAATAGCATGGCCTAGCTGTGAGGACCAGACCAGGTTCCTAATGTCAGGGACTGCTTTTTTATATTTCCTTCTCTTTCACCCCTTCTCAGGGATGAAATTTGAGGCAGTCATCACTCTCAGCTTGTCTTGGGATGGATGTTCATTTGATTTAAGTTTAGACTAGTGGAAAGAAAATTTAGGCTTTGAGGGTAGGCCATAGGCTTCAGCCCATATACCAGAGAGGCCTATACTAGGAGGTAGGGCCCAAGTGTGACTAAGAATAGAATTTTTACCTTAATTCTTTTTGTAATTGTTCTGTTGAAAAATGTATCATTTATAAAGTCCTGAAAGGGTTGTTAAGGTGGCTGTTGGGCCTTGTTAGAATTTTGGTATTCCCAGGGAATATACTGAAATGCCTAAATGCAATAAAATTCCATTTTGGGGGAACCTAATAATTTATGGTGTAAATTACAGTATTTAGTATTATATACCATATAGCAGAGTGATTCATCTTTGAAGCCAGGCTGCTTAAATTCAAATCCCAATTTTGTAATTTACTAGTTGGGTGACCTTGTACAAGCTACTTTGTGTGTCTTAGTTTTCATATCTGTAAAAGTATAATAATAATTTGTGCATCTACGTCAGATTATTATGAAGATTTAATTGGTTTATATGAAGTGCTTGAAATCTGTATGACACAGTGAGTGCTGTATAGGTGTATCTGTATTATTTTTATTACTAAGTTTTTATCTGTGAAATACTAAAAACTGGTATACAATAGGAGTGCAATAAATTTTTATTGAATTATTAATAATTGTCTCCCTAATTTGTTTCTAATTTAACAAAAAGTGAAAGAACATACTTTGCAGTTTAATAACAAAATCTCCAGGATTTCTGCAAGTATTAAGGAAGGCTAAGTGGCAAATTTAGCAGCAGTACTTAAGGACTGGCAAGGTACTGGCAAGCCTGGTTAATGAAGAGGAAAATATAGTGACTGTGGTGTTACTTCCTCACCACTGAGTACATTCATTATCTTTGTAGCTGTGTATGCCAAACTCAATACCACATGCCATTTGTTTACTGGCCAATGATGCATTATTATATTAAAATATTTGGAAACCAGAGAAAAATAGAATACATAAAATAAGAATCACATGGTATTATATATCATCCATAGGTACATAACAATTTTTTTTTTTTAGTTACCACATAGGTATGTATGCAACATGTAGCGATTATTTTAAAGCAGTATACTTTTAAAAATAAAGAATAAGTTTAACATGGAACACATTTCTGAAATATATTGTCTCTGAGTTTTTGTTTTTGTTTTTTTGCAGAATAATACAGGGTTTTAGAGCAAAAGAGAAAAGAATGTCCAAAAGTAAACAATCTCTGCCTGTTTTTTAAAACTAATGATCCATTTGTGGACCTATTCTCAGGGCGTTTTAAGGCAATTAAAACTCTCTATGTCATGCAGCCAATGGGTAATCACTACTTCCATTTTGCAGGTGCACTCATCTCACTTCTGGCTCTTCAGGCGGTGTGTGTGTGTGCGCGCGCGCGCGCGCGCGCGCGTGCGTTTCTGTGTGTTTGCGCGACGTCCCGTGTGGGATGGGGTAAAAGGGAGGGAAGCTAGTGCGGGATGGTCACTTGTCACAAAAGACCCTAGCCCTGGTAAAACTTATTTATTAGGGCGAGTGCAAGAGTACGTGGGGGTAGGGGAGACAGACTGAATCATCATGGAGGCCACTAGTGTTTAAGTATCCTCTTTGGCCTTTGTGCACACGGTCGTGCGTCGGTGCGTGTGTGTGTGCGTGCATGCTGGTCAAAAGGAGTGGGTGAGACGTCTTCCTGGCTCCGGTGCTTTATGAAACCACATTGTGTGTGTACTAGTGCCTGTGGCCGGTAAGAAGAGAGGCAGTTCTGGAGGAGGCATACCCAGGCCGGGTGTCAGTGGTTTTGGAG